AAGAGACGGGGTGGGGTGGGGTAGAGTGGAGATTAAAAAACACATAGTCTTGAGCTCTGATAAAGATTTTTTATAACGTTTAGCAAAGTTTCTACTTGAAGAACAAGTCTTCTCTCATTGCCTTTCCCACAACTACCGCCATCATTACCGCTGTCATCATCATCATCATTATCGTCATCCTCATCATCATCATCATCATCATCATCATCATCATCATCATCATCATCATCATCATCATCATCATCATCATCATCATCATCATCATCATCACTCTGAGACCAGCAGCAAAAGCGTCTACGTCTACTGCAGAGTGTAATTAAATTAACTTTATCATCAACAAATACAAAGTGGAGGAGCTTTTTGGGGAGGAAGAAACTCACATAACAAAACAAAAATAGATACTTAAAAGTTGAAGAAAAAAAAATCCAGGTGTTGGCATGAAAACCTAAGTTACAGTCAACAAATTATTGTTATTGTACAGTTTTTTTGGACGTGTTTGCGCGTAGTGTACACCTCACAGAAGTACAATAGTGTCTACAGTGCAGAGGTAGGCTATTCGGACTTTCATGCAAAACATTGTGTCTCTTATCGAATTCTATTAAGGCTGCTCTTATTGACCCACATGGGCAAATAAGCTATCTGGTTCTTTGTCTCACTTTGATTACCCTTTCAAACAAGTCAGCCCTCGCCCCGGGTGAAAACATAATATGGTGTTTGCCTCTTAGGGTGTGCTTGCAACACAAAACAGATTTTCTACGATTGAAGGTCATTGTGGGCTGATTAAGAGTCACAAAAATCAATGTAAAATAAAAAAATAATAAATAATAATTACGGCTATTACTATAAGCATTCTGTATCCTTAATAATACAAATGAGTTTGGGAGTCATTCAAGATCTAGATCTAGATCTAGGTCTAATCTATACTTCCTTAATATTATATTCTTTGAAATTGACTTACTTTCAGGTGTAAAATATAATATTAACTTAAGCCTTAGAGAAGTGTATAATTATAATATAAAATAATTTCTCTGATGTTTAATGCAGATTTTGCTGTTGTATTTTCATTAAAAAATATTATCATTTGTGGATTGGGGGGGG